ATATAGAGTTAAAAATTTAAATACGTTTAGTTGTTTATTGTAATATTATTTTAGTTCATTCATAATTGTTGTTTATCATTATAGTTCATAGTTTTCTTTGTTTCACCGACATGCTTCTAATATATTCATTGAAAATACTATATAGTGAGAGAAATGGCACAACTACTTAATATTATCTTTATGCTACATGAACAAGACTATCATGAAAGTGAAAGTTGTATCTACACTAACAGTAAGAGACGAATGGAAAGTATTTGCAACAGTCGTTATTGCACCACTTGCAGAAGAGAACGTTTAATACGATAGATATAATTTATAAGATACACTAGCTCTTGATTGAAATACTCTTTGGTATTTGAAAAGCCTCTCTTGTCAATTAAAGACAATATTAATTTTGATTTGCTTGATAGTATCATGATATTGATAATTCTACTTGATAGATGTTTTTTTTTATCTTAAACATATGCCAAAAATAGGTTGAACAGATTTCATTTTCTATTGTGCAATATTCCTAGTCGTTTGCATGTTTGAGAAAAAAGTTGCACATATTTAATTAAAAGATTTTATTTAATCTTATTTCTATTTTTTTTTTTTTTTTTTCTTTGGAGAATTAGTCTTTTCTTTTCAAGTTTTGTTGTATCAAAAACTTCTATGAAGCATTGAATATTTTGTTTTGAATGACAGTTCCTGCAGCTTTTGACATAATCCTTGTTAAGAAAAATTAAAAATATATTTTATTTTTAATGATGTTTACTAATGCATGGATATTTTTTTGTTTCATCTTCTGTTGAAAACAAGAAAGTCGTATGAGTGAGAAAAAGAGGAAAAGTAAAAAGAATATTACTTCGTGGAGTCATTAGAAGAAGGTGCGCATTACATATATACTATCATGTCGTCATTATCACCAGCACAATTAATTGTTAATATTGCTGAATATTATACAATCTATACAGGATTTATTACTTTATTTTTTGGTATCTTTGGAAATATTTCTCTTATTTTTGTATTAACTCGTCTTAGAATTTTTCGTGGTAATCCGTCTACATTTTATCTCATCGTAGAATCAATTACTAACTCACTTCAAATGGCACTTTTATTAACATCTCGTATTGCGATGAATGGTTTTGCTATTGATTTAACACAAACAATATTATTCTGGTGTAAATTAAGAGGATCATTCAGAGCATATTTTACTCTTAAACCACTTTCTATTATTTGCTTTTCGGCTATTGATCAATATTTATCAACAAGTTATTATCCATTTTTAAGACAAAAAAGTACAATAAATTTAGCTAAAATTCTTATTACTATTGTAACTATTGTTTGGATTCTACATAGTATACCATTCTTTGTACTCTCTGAAATTCAAATAACATATGGATGCTTTATATATAATTCCAGTTTTTTAAATTATATTCTATATTTCTATTATCCAATACTTTCTGGTATATTACCGATCATTATTTCGACATGTTTTGGTGTATTAGCTTATCGAAATGTTCGTCGAATTGTAAGACGTCAAATGCCAATACGTCGACGAAAATTTGATCAACAATTAACAGCAATGATTCTTATTCGAGTTGTTTTTTTAATCATTATGATATCACCATATGTTTTAGAGCGTATTTATGCAGTTGCATTCAAAACAAATCACGGTATACTTTATAATGCTATTTTTACACTTATTGATGATGTTGCTTATTCGTTTTATCATATTAATTATGCAGTATGTTAAAATAATTATAGATTTATATTTATTTATTTTGATCATTTTAGGGTTCCTTTTATTTATTCTTAATATCATCAAAAAGATTTCGTCGACAAGTAAAATATGCTTTTATACAGAAATTTTGGGAAATATTTTGCACAAGAAGAATACATCAAAATCAAATAGCTCCAATAGCACAGTCATCTATTAGTGAAGATGATTTTTAATCAATATTAATAATGCAAAATGTATTATTGTATAATTATTATCAATGTAATATAATTCGAGGATATATATAAGATGTGATATTTCAATTAATTGTATTGAATATTGTTATTTTGAACATAAAATATTTTTCTATATCAATGTCAATGATTTGGACAATCAGAGTACATTTAAAAAAAAAACTTATTAGTCTCTAGTACTTTTTTTTCGTTTTTACATCAATTTTGTCTTGAAGAAATAAATATAATTATGAGGTTAATAAAGTATTTTTTTTCCATTTTGAAGTGGATGCGGTTGTGACAGTAGAATGAGAAGAGTAGGCAGTGTCTATTATACGGAGGCTTTATTAGAATTTTATAACAAGATTGATATTAGCTAAGTGTCTAACTCAGTCAAAAAAATTCTGTCATTCAGAACATATCACTGAATAGAAAAAAAATTTGTTTCTCTCTCTACAACAAATGTTAACAGAAGTCACCATGACATTCAATTTTGCAATGTCTGTTCGTATTTGTAGGAGGATATCAAGTTAAATCCTCGGCTAAAACTTTTATTGAATTTGTTTCTTAACCCTTAAGAGTCTAAGTGGCTTTCGCTTATAAAAATGAGATTCTAATTAGAAAAACAGAGAGTATGGACCCTCAGTATATTCGTACTATAATTAAAAATAATTACCGTCTTCTTATTCTGAACCGACGCAACCTCCTTTGGCAGGAATATCGATGCCTGTAAAAATTCGAAAAAATAGGAATTTCGATCTGAAACTTTTCCTTTAGATAGTCTTGATAATACTTAATATGCTCCGAAATTTTCATTTAGAACGGATGTCTTCTTCCTGAGATATTCAAAATCCAAAAACCAGCTAAAAGTTGTTAAAAATCTCAACATTCTGTATCTAGAGATAGAAACAACAGTTGTTCCTGAAAATTTTGAAACTTCCTAAACACTACTAGGGCTATGTATGAGCCAAGTTTCATGTTAGAAATACATTGTTTTGATTCTTCTATGAGGCTGAATGTCTCACGGAAGGAGTTTTTTTATTGATCAGGGCACAGTCTGTCAGTAGATCTGTTCAAAGATTCTAGAATGTTGACATTGACTAACTTGATGATAGGCTTAAGAGTTTAGCGTTAAATAAACTACAATGTATGTCGCATTTCCGAATAGATATAACTTTATAGAAGAAAGATGTTATTGAAAAAAGTCATCAGTCCCAAAAAGGTATTTTGCTATGCCTGACAGCCACCGGAATACTACATTTTGATTTAGATATGGCCTTAGTAGTAGTAGTATATTGCTTTATTTATCATAATGAAGTGGAGAATGTTCAATAAATAAGTATGGGGAGAAAGCGAAGAAAGACTTAGACGAACATCGTCTCTTTAGTCATACAAAAAAAACCAAGATAGAGTGTACTAATTTCGAACAACAAGGTTGAAAATTAGAAAGGAAATACAATTATGATTAATATGGTTATAACAAAAAAAAGAAAGAAAAAAGAGATTGAGTGTAAGGTTAAACTCCACACGTCGTCACTTACGAAATATGTATATAACGGTACAAAAAAAATAAATAGGAAGGGAATAAATTTCTGTTAGCACGATAGACATTTGTCAACAGTATACATCCTATGCCAATTCTTCATTATAGCAGAAAACATGATCGAATAGAGAAGGATTACAGGACGTCAATAGTGACAGCATGCGATTTGAGGTTCTTCCTTTATCTACAATGTTTTGCTTTTCTTTTAAAAGAGCAGGATTCATGTAGTACTCTCTTAAAAATAACAAATACAGCTTCTGTTGAATATAGTCTGCAATCACCGCAGGATTACTATGCATTATAGTAGTTAATAATTTCGTGTAGTGTATTCGAGTAAGCAATTCAATTGATTTATAGGTAGGAAGATTAACTATTTCGTCATTTGTGGCATCATACCATCTGTTAATAATACGAAATATTTTCCGGTTTAATGCTTCAAGTTGTTGTTGTTTGGTGCGAGATAAGATTGGATAAATATTTAAGATAGAATGAAAATAAGGACGAATATAAGCATAATATAGCTTAAACGAAGTCTGTTTGGATAACATTCGTGTAGCTGCTAGACGTTTAAATACAGTGATGTTTTTGCTAATTTTGGATTTGATGTAGTCAAGATGACAATTAAAAGAAAGTCTAGCATCAAGAAAAATACCCAAATATTTAAATTTAGAAACATGCTCAACAACATTTTTATCACAATGGATAACAGGAATAGTTGGTGATACCATCCGGTGAAAAAGAGTCCAATATGTTTTTTTGAAATTTAGAGGCTGTTTCCAGGTAATTGAGTATTGATATAAATCCTTTATTACGTTTGTGATCTGTTCCGAAAGATAAGGAATAATCATATTTGATGACCACGTGACTGAAGATGATACCACAACTGCTAAATCATCTGCAAATAGATGTTTAAAATGTAAACTAGACACAGCATTTAATATATCATAATGAAAAATGATGAATAGAACAGGACCTAAACATGATCCTTGTGGCACACCTTTAAACAATGAGAAGGATATTGATTTATGTCCTTTGATTTCGATAAATGCTGAACGTCCCAGAAGATAATTGCGTAACCAAGAAATGATATATAAAGGGCAATTAAGACGTTTTAACTTTACCCAAAGGCCTTTGAACCATAGCTGATTAAAGGCCGTCTTAAAATCAATGAATAATGCAGCTGTAGCAGTATTAACTGCAAGGCCTTGGCCAATTTGATCAACAATAGCTACAATTCTGATAGACATATTGTGTCCAGATCTAAACCCAGTCTGTTCTTCAGGAAGGAGACCATTGTCTGATATCCATTTGCGAAAATGCATTAAAAAGATTTTCTCATTTAATTTTGAAAAACATGGAAGTAGTGGAATTGGGCGGGTGTCATTTATATCAGCAATTGACGATTTAGTTTTTGACAAAAGAATCATTTTAGCTATAAGCCAATGTTGAGGAACACGAACGTGTTCAGCCATGTAATTCAAACATGAAGTAATAAATACAATATGAGATGAGGGTAAAAGCTTAATTATTTTGTTTGAAATTCCATCTAAACCCGTGGAATTCTTGTTCTTTAATGATAGAATAGATTTTTTAACATCAATAAATTCAAATTGAAAGTGGTCTAATTTTGAATTTTGAATTTCAATATCTAATTCTTGGTCAATAGCATCTGCCTCAGATTCAATGATGGACTGATCATTTTTATGTTCAGAGAATTGATCCAGGTAAAAGTTTTTAGCGATGTAACACATTTTCTCTGGAGAAGTTATTGCTACACCATTCTGCAGGATTCCATCAATAGGAGACGAATAAGACGAAAAATGTCGCTTAGTTTTTCTCCAGAATTGTTTAACATCACAACTATTTAGAGTTTCACAGTATTTGCTCCAAGTTCTTCTTTTGTGTAAATAAAGCGCTCTACGTATATGTTGTGAATAAAGTTTTAACTGTAGTATATAATATGGAAGTTTTGTTTTCCTGACCAAATACAAATAATGACGTTTAATTTGAATCAGATGAACTATTTGGGCCGGAATTGAGGGCTTATATGTATTACAATATGACACATAAGTTAGTCTTGAAGAAGCCAATGACAAGAAGCGTTCATAGAGACAGAAAAACTCAACCTTGTCTGTCATGATTTCACATAAATCATTCCAAAAGGAAGATGTGTGTGTAATAAATAATTCATATAATAACCAGTATGTTCGTTTAATTGGGAAGAAGCGTTCTTTTGATGTAACTGTGAGTGTCGATGACCAAATAACAGGATAGTGGTCGCTTCCAATAGAAGGGAGTACAGTACAAGAACCAGCTAACATGCTCATAGGTGCTAGAATAAGGTCAATCACTGCATTTGAACGTGTTGAAGTAGGGACGAATTTATTCACAACTTGTAAATCATTATCATTTAACCATTCGAATAGTATCCTTCCCTTCTGATTTAATGGTGTATTAGACCAGGAATTATGTTTAGCATTTAAATCACCAAGTAGAATGGTATTGGAATTACGACACATTATGTCACTAAGAAGACTAACTGGTAATGGTTCATTAGGTGGAGAGTAATAAGTTACTAATTGAAATTTATTTGGAGAGCTTCCTATATCAAGAACAATAAGATTAGAATCATTTTGAAATTTAAGCACCCGTTGTGCAGGAATAGAACGATGTGCAGCAATTAATACTCCACCAAAGGCATTTGTACCTTCCTGATAGAAGACATGATAATTATTTAAATGCATCGAAAAATTTTTTAATGTATCATTATCATGACGTGTACCATTTAATACAATAATAGAAACATGAATCGAGTTTAATAATTCGAAAAAATCATAAAGATATAATTTGAGGCTACTTATATTCAGTAATAAGAAAGATAGTTCATTTCTAATGTTAAGCATGTTTAAGGTTTGTTGCCGTCGTTTTTCCCATTTAATAAATACACTATTTAATGTTGAAGATGTGGTCCAATCAGTAATGAGTTGTTGAAGGATTTTTATTTGCCTTTTTGAAAGATTTGTCGTTGGAATTGTTTGTAAATCTTTTTGAATAGGGATGAATGCTTTAGCATTAGGATTCATCACTTGCCATATGATCGAAAACGCTATTGGATATTGCACGGTCTTGGACGATAGCATTAATACAGGATAAATTGTCAACATTGGTATGGTTACTATTTTTTGAAATAAAATCCACTAATTTATTATGTAATGGTGAAATAGTTTGTTTATTAACACCTTTTGCTTTTAAATAGACTTGATTTGAAATTTCTTTAAGAAGTGGACATAGAATATCATTTATACAAAATTTAATATGGTTCATCTCATTACTATAACTATTTAAATTCACTTCGAATAAACTGAACTTTTTATTTAGTTCATCTTGTTGTTGTTTGACAACCAGCATCGTGTTATTTATTTGGTTTAAGACATTTGAAATGTCTAATTGATAGTTGTTGTTATCGTTAACCATTGATGATGAAATAGCACATGTCATTGGTGTTACATTTGTTATATCATTTCCAAAAAGCTTTTCTCGTGTATTAGTAGTCCAGGCATTTTTACGTTGTACAGCTGATGAATTAATTGTTCCGTTTGACAATTTCAACCGCTGGCTTTTTTCATAACGTTTTTCTAACTTAAATGGATAATTAGGATTGCCTGCCATGTGCTCACCTTGACAATGAGCACATCGGACAGGATTACTACACTTTGGATTATAGGGATGCTGCTGGGCACACCGGAAACAAATTGGATTATTTTTATTTGGGCAATGAGCAGCAATATGATCGTCATACGCTTGACAATTGTAACATCGTAATACCTGAGTTGGTGGTACATATTGTTCAACTGCATATGCAGTATTATTATCATCGAGTAATATACGTTTAGATTTAAGTATAGGTGATAGTTCTTTGCACGACGAAAAATCAACCCTAACTTTAGATAAAGGACGTCCACCTTTTATAAATAAACGTACTACACGTACAATTGATGGATAATGTTGTTTCAATTCATTTCCAAAAGCTTCAACATTCCATTGAGATGGAACATTTAGAACAACTATTGAATATGATACTGGTATCTTTTTTGGTAAATCTAAAATATACTCGCTATTGCATATTCTATCCGGCCAATTGGATTCACACATAAGATGTTCAAACTGAGCTGTTGTATTAGTATAAAGTAAAAAGCATATTTGATTATTTGCTGCTTTTGCATAACGACCATAAGTTAGATTTAATTTAAAATATTTATTTAGCTCCTTAATTACACTTAATTCTGCTGTTGGATACTTATCAACATCTCGCAATATAATACGAAATGATGGAAAGGATTGTCTTGATGACTCACGTCGAAAGCGAGCTGATGAGTCATTAGAAATTTTCTTAGGTTGATGGTACGTATTGAAATATGAATGATTAGTTGTCGATACTGATGTTTTTATAATTTCCTGTTGATTCCGATTAGATTGGGTAGAATGATAATCAAATCCAATATTGCTACCAGTCATCTCCAGTCGATTACGTTTAGGTGTATGAATTGCTGTTTCATATTCACTTGGATGTTGAACAGACCGTTTCCTATTGGAAGAACAATGCATCTGTTCATCAGTATCGGTTTGGAACAATTCGTTTGAATATGAGTTTTTTGAAACGATTGTTTCAGATGTACTCATTTGATTTACGGAAATTAGTAAACCTTGAGTATAAAATCACTCACGTGTGTGAAACACTTGCGTGCTTATATAAGTATATGAAGAATAAGAAAAGGATAAATGTGACCGACTTCTATCGTGTAAAGTGACGAATGAACACATGAGATATGACCTTGAAAGTCATATCAATCCAGAAAAATATTGGTTTTTGTTTACAACATTGTTTATAAGACCTTGATTACAATTATTTAAATGTCCCTTGGAAGGGACATTCGGCTCTTAAGGGTTAAGTATTGAAAACATACAAAAGCTTAGAAGGACTACATGGGTAATTATGTTAAATGATCACTGGTGATGAGATGTGGGTTTACCCTTGCAAGACTAGATAGAAGCAGCAACCAAAATTATAAATAATAGAACTCGTCAAGTACATTTCGTGACATCTATTAAGATTATCGATTATTGTAACAAATGTTTAAAACTATTATATAAAAAGTTATTAAACAAAAAGTCATGATGAGAAATCATCGGTAGTAAATTTCACTATTGCAATGTCAATCGTATATAAACGTTATAGCTATTAATTATCTAAAAGAAGAAATAATGAACTTATCGCTTATTTGTTACTGTTGTCAGACTTTGCTCTTTTAGGTTTAAACATATACTATATAAATATCTAAATGTAATAGGTTTAGCTAAGTTTTAACCGAAGATTCAACTTGATATCTTTCTATAAGTACGAAAAGAAATTTCAACATTGAATTGAAGTTAGTATCTAACATCACAGTGACTCCTTCTAATGTTTGCTGTAGAGAGAGAAATAGAATGTCTTTCTACTGAACAATTGGTACTGAATGTAACAACTTTTTGACTCTCCTATGTGTTTTAAAGAGGATAAAGAAAATTTGTTTTTTTAAATTTAATTATTATTTTATGTCAATATTTAATGGTATGCAATATGAAGTAAGTATTTGATGACATTATCTGTTTTAGATAGTTGTGCTTGTTTTTTTTTATCTCAATAGTAACTAGATTTTTTTTCATTTTCTTTCTCTCTCATGTTATGTTTTCGTTCATTGTAATCATATTTAGTTTCTCTTTTCTATAATTATAAAGAAAAAATTATTTTATAAACAAAATTTACGAATCAAAGGGATTAGTTAATCTATTGAACAGTGTTTTCTTGAATGTGTTCTTTATTTAATAAAATCTATTTGATGATTATCAGCATCGTAGATCAATATTGAATAAATTTTCTCATAATATTTTCATAAATAAACTATCCTATTTTGGATGTTCATCGTCATACTGATTAAAAAAATTTGTTTTTTACCCATAGAATTTCATGTGACTAGAAATTGATCAGCATTTTGTGATCTTAACTTAAATATATTCTATTAAAGAAACATGTTATGTAGAAAGTTCAACGAAAAGTGGAGTAAATAAGACATTGATCATTTCTATGTAATTTGGAAATTCAGACATTATCATCGATATTCTATTAGTGTCTATTTTCAGAAATAACCTTCTTTCTCTGCTCTCGATCAAACATACATATTTGACTATGCAAGAGAAATTGTCATAAGCTTATCATTCATTGAGGTATGTTCAGATTTCCGAAATTAAAAAAACATTTTTTCCATACCATTCAAATACACACACGTACATCAGGAGAAATTTTCGATAACTGTCGGCAAAATTTCAGACAACATCATAACCACACAAAAGCAAATCGTCAAGAAATTTCAGTAATTCTTGATCTTAAAGAACGTAATTACTAGATAAGAGAAATTTCTATAATTTTTAAAGTTTCTGAGTAATTACCGAAATTATCGAATATTCTTCTACTTTTTGAGAATAGATATCTTCAAATCTGTGTCTATTCTGTCATATCTATGTGATAAAAAAATAAAGAAATAATGGTCATAGAAAGTGAGTCAAACATGCTAACCAAAGAAACGTGGCTCACTTCATATAGACAAAATGGACCAATCAAAATGCGAGTTCTTACTTTACCGCCATCCAACTATTTTTCCAAAACAGGACAATAGTACTCACAACCCGGAAGTGCCATTCCCATAACAGAACAATAATACTCACCACCCGGAAGTACTATTCGAAAGGGGGGGGGGGGGGGAGCAGATTTCAAGATTTTAACAGATTTCAGAGACTTTAAATGCTAAAATCTGCTTTTCCCCCGTGACTATTCCCATAACAGAACACAATTGTTCTTTTTTGGGAAAGGTACTTTTGGGTTGTGAGCACTATTGTTCTGTTATGGGAACGGCACTTCCGGTATCAGAGTACCATATATTTAAAATGGGTATAGTATGGACTAATGGAGTCCACTTTGGCTCACTTCATATGACCAGAAATAATATTAATTTCGTACAAATTATCAAAGTTTCTGAGAAATTTCCGGTAAGAGTTTTTCTCATATGTTAAGGTAGTTTCGAATGTTATGAAATTTTTGTTATCGTATATTTCTAAATTCAGTCGTTTCTCGAAAATTATTGATTAAGAATCGATTGATTTAGGAAATTTCTTTATTTTGGTACTGCTTGATTTTGAATGATACTGCAGTAGTTACATTGGTTTGCTGAAATCTGCATTTTAGATGGTTATAGTTTCCAAAATATGAATATTTAGCAGGAAAATTTCCTTGTTCGGAAATTTGCTCACTGCTATTTTAATAGAGCCGATAATGCTGATACATAATAATACTCGGAACACTCATCGATACAAATGAGAAAAATGATGTTTCTTGACACAAATCAGAGTAGCTTCATAAGATTGATCCTTGAGAATAACACGAGTTCTTCCTTAGTTTTATCAATACTATTAACACGCTGTTTTTTTTTTTGAAGTTACTTCTGCTCTATCACGATAAGCACATAGACTCTTTTGTTTTAATGTATTTCCGCTATCATTTGAACGTTTTTACACCATGTGATGGATTATTACCAGTTGAGGATGTGAGTCTAAATGTTCTGTTATCTCACATCCACAACCTCAATTGAAATCTAGTGCTGTATTAAGAACCTTTTTGAGAACAGCATTATGAAATATTTAGATAGTTTATTAGTTTCATTTTGGAAAATGAAGAATATCACATGTTACAGTTTTATGTTTTTCTCTTGGTTTGAATATTAGTTTTATTAACATGTGTTAGTATTAATATACACAGCAAAATATTCTTCTATTATGAAATATACTTGCAGATCATATTTTACATTAATATTTTTTCAACGTTAGTTCTTTTCAATATTTCTACAATCAATTACAATGTCGTATCTACCCTCTTTGGAGAATGAATATTGTCATTATTTGTCATATCAAACGAAGCAAAGATAAGCTTGCTTGATACGTTCATAAAAATACATAAGAATATTCTTCTGTCAATTAATCTAGTGACTAAAAATATGATTATATTAAGATCATTATAATGAAATTATATTCTTCTAGAAGATGATTTCATGAAACAGTATCAATATTAGAGAAAATATTCGATGCATCTCTTATTTCAGTTAAAGTATGCAAGTTTTAAGTACTAATAATTATATTCTCTTAATAAACTTGCAGAATACGACTAAAAATAAAATCTAAGATATCTTTGAATATTATTCGTGTGAATATCTTAGACGATTAGCCATACATGTGTAAGCAAAGAAATGTTCTGTTATTGAATAGTGTACATGAAATATCTTGTCATATATTGACAATAGTTGTTATTATTATAATTACATTTACTTTATTTCTAATCTGTTGGTTTTTGTCTAACACATGATTTACATATATGTACCTATCATTTTATAGATATATATATTTGTGTATTCTTTCATTGATGTTGTGATTATTCTAATTTCGTATATAACAATATTTCTATTGTTATGTTTATTTTTCCTATTCTTCATTTGACTATGTAAGTCATCATAACATATACAGGGTGTCCGACAAGTCATTTAACAAAAATAAAAAATTGAATATCTCCATTACGGCTCGAGCAAACATATTGATTTTTTAACCAGTGATAGAGGCATGTACCAAGTTTATATCCATAAAGACATGTCTAGGAAGACTCTTTATTAAGTAACACTCTTGACCTCAACAAGAAAAATTTTACTCTTTCAAAGATAGAAAAAAAAGACAGTACACTTAACAGAGAATCTCTCCAGGCATGTCTTTATGAATATGAAGCTTGAGCATGCTTCTATTATTGGTAAAAAAATCAACCCGTTTGCTCAAGCCATAATGGAGATATTCAATTTTTATTTTGGTAAACTGACTATTGGACCACCCTGTATATCGTCCAAAAGTCACGATACCAAGAAAAAATGAAATATCTCTGCTACGACTCGAGCAAGCGGGCTGATTTTTTACCAATAATAGAAGCATCTTCATACTTTAAATCAATACGGACAAGATTGAAGAGAGCCTTTATAAAATACCACTAATGATCTCAACAATATAATTTTACTTTTTCACAGATATAATAGAAAACAATATACTTAACAAAAGATCTCTCTAGTCATGTCTTTATGAATATGAAGCTTGAATATGCCTCTATCATTGATAAAAGAATCAGCTCGTTAGCTCGAAGCGTAGCAGAAATATTCAATTTTTTTCGACAAAGTGACTTTTTTTTTCTAACTGTAAAAATTTAAATTTTTCTTGTTGAGGTCAAGAGTGTTACTTAACAAAAAGTCTTCCTAGACATGTCTTTATGGCTATAAAGTTGGTACATGCCTCTATCACTGGTAAAAATATCAACATGTTTCCTCGAGCCGTAATGGAGATATTCAATTTTATTTTTGTTAAATGGCTTTTCGGACACCCTGTAGATCTCTCTTTATATATATATATATATATACTCGTCTTTTTCTAAAAAGGTGGATTTTTTCATTGTTCATTTAGTTTCTTCAACTTTTTAGTTGTCTCTATTCTTC